GAATGGCGGCGAATCACGACGTCGTGTCGTCGTGAGCAGCCCGCTTCATTAACACTTCGTCTCCAGAGTCGCTCTCCTGTTGACTTTGTCGGAGCACTCGGCGACGTCTAGTTTTTCCTTCACCTCTGAGTGGCTGGTCGAGCCCTCAGCCGACGACGTGTGCGGCCCGACTTCTTCCAGAGACAATATCTCTGTGCCGGTGGGCGAGTAGCTAACGGTGGTCGCTTCGCTGGTAGGCGACGTTACGCAGCTGTCACCTACGCTCCTGCTGCGTGGCGTGTATCGACTCCTTTGGAACTGTTGTATGTTTAATGACAGGCTGGCCTGTATCGACGTTCTCTCCGCGAGTTTCGCAGGATTCTCGGTTTGCTGTATGTCGACATTAGACGGACTTCTCGACCGCGGGACGTGGAGCGGACTATCCGGATCCGCCGCCAAGTCGGATGATAAGATTTTGGAGCCTGCGGCTAATCTACTCGCGCAAGGGGAGTACTTTGGCAGATTTATCGTGATCTTGTCCGAGCCTACTGTTAGAGACGATCTACCAAGCTTTTTCAACGGACTACAGGCGGGCTTCTTCTTTTTCAATTGCTTGGCGTCATTGTAAGAGTCGAAGCTCTCGATGGAGTCGCTCTTCTCCTGTTCCTTATATTTCTCCAAGCCCTTCCTCCTCATCTTGGTGCAGGTGCAACTCCAGAGAAACTTCTTGGCGGTCTCGGTGTTTTTCGTGTGTGCCTCGTCGGGCTTCTTAAACTTCGTTATGTTGTCTACAATCGAGATTTTATTGTAATAACGCTGCCCATTGTTTTTGTTGGCGTTATTCAGGTCCAACGTCGACTCTATGCAATTGTATTTGAATCGAGATCCGGGAGACTTTTTCTCCGCTGTGGGCTGAGTGAAAGTACCTCTACAATCCGTAATATCCTTTTTAACATCACCGGAAGCATTGGAAAACGATGCGACCGACTTTTCCCCGATCGCGCATTGTCGGCAGTCTTCTACTAGTATATCGATCAAGGTCGTGTGAGCTCTTTGGCTGTCTGTCTTCTTGTGATTCTGACCAAACGAATTTTTTAAGCTTCTGTGGACGATATTTTTCTGGCTCTGAGCAAAGGGATTCTTCAAATTTTTCGGCAGATAAGTGTGCTTCTTGGTAACTTTGTCGGTATGGTTGAATCGAAAGTCGTGGCAATCGGCTACTTTCTTCTCGTCGGCGACGACCTTGCTCTGCCCTTTGTCCTTCGCGTTCACGGAGGAATCTTTCTGCTTAGAGTTCTTACTCTCCGATCTTACACTACACTTCTTCGAATTACCTTCAGCATTTGGATTCTCGTCTTTGGAACGCGTTTTCTTAAAGGATCCCGGGCGATGAGTTTCCTGGCATACAACCTGCTGCTGCTGCTGCTGCTGCTGCTGCTGCTGCTGGTCGCAGAAGAAGAATACATCGTCTACGGAGGCAAAGGATGATTCTTCGTCACAGGGAAGGACGGGCGTCTTCTCCCCTGTGGGAGGCGACTGCTAGACAAGCTTCTCCGCCGGAGAGCTAGTCGAAATGGAGCTGATGGTATTGGAGTTGTTGGAAATTGTACGTCCCTGATTGCTCGCATGCATATGGCCCCCTCCTTGCCCCCCCTGGCTCTGGGAGAGGCTGAGTCGCCGTCAGTTTACCAATTCCACGCTTACAAATTGCTTCAGTCGTTCGAGGTATTGATTATACAACTCTACATCATTATGGCCAGCACCCTGAACAAAAAAAAAGGCAACGTTACGTAATTATTTTACTATGTATACGTGTAGTGATCTATGATGTATGAGGATAAAATACAACAATCGAAGTAAAATACAAGAGAAAAATATATTAGTTTTTCATCGATTTTTGATACCTCGACCCATAATGGTTCTACTGCTCGTGGACATCTCTCGTAAATCGCCAGGCCATGGCTGAAATTTATCACTTCATCTTCAGTGCCATGAATTACCAGTACAGGAGATGTTACCTTCGGTACTTTATCTATGCTGTAAAGAAATAACAATATTCAAACATTGCACGAGACAACAATGAAGGCGAGTGAAGTTTTGAAGATTGAAAAATTTAGACGTAACAACGTACAGTATAATAAAATCACTGAAGATCAACCGATTTTTTTTTCTTTCTTATTTTATATTATTAAATTCCCAAGTTCTCATGATCAATTTCTTCGAGAATGAAGTCTAACGCAAAACGTATTCGTTCCACAACAAAGATTATATGTATACTGATACAATCGCTGATACAAAAATACTGATATAAAATTCGCTGATACAATCGAAAAAATATGCAACAAACGAAAGAAAACATATTAAACTTCTCGGGCATATGATTATCAGGATACAATATCAACAATAGATAACAGGCAGATAATACAGTCAAAATAAATTTTAGAAATTACACACACACACACACACACACACATATATATATAAAGTGACAGTTCTTTTATAAGCACTCCACATGTTTGTATAAAACACCAACCTCCAAAATTAAAAAAATATATTGTGAAAAACAAACAAAAAAAAGACTCTAAACAAATACACATAGTTGGACTTGCCTCGATGAGAGCTACAACGTTTATTAAGAGAAAAAATCAATTTCCATCTAAAAAAAAGTGATCATTAGTGAATTTCTCGAAAGTGACGTCATCTACAGATAACAAATTGATATCGCTATCTTATGTTCCCCTTGAGGTCAAACAACTTTTGTACGAAACATTTTTTTTTTTTTTGTAAAAGCTATAAGGAAAGAGATAGAAGGTTCAAAATGGGACATTAAAATGGCCCACCCTGTATGTATCCAGTGACGTGCTGAGTGTGTCCGTGACGGTTTTCGCGCGTGTTAAGTTACACGAGTCACACCAGCAGTCTCTCGCTACGCGTGTTTACATCTCCATATAAACAACATAAATTACTTTTGCGCGCAGATAACTATCGTAAAAGCCGCACAGAATCAATTAGTAGAACGCGTTACAACGCAAGTCGTGCAACACATAGGCTTCGTAAGCACACATCCACGTGACATAAGTATATATTTGCACGGCGGCCATAAACTTGTGTAGCTTCCCGACGAGATATCAACGATTTTACTTCGCGGCTCGCGAGGTATACCCGCGCGGAACACTCGAAGAATATGCTTCCGAAAGTGTATGCATTGTAAATATAGCGTATATTTTATACGTATATTAAACGATCCCCGGGGGAGGCGATTTATCATATACAATAAACGAACATTTCCATACGGTGTGCGTTTCGTGTATATTTTATATATACGCGTTCCTCGCGAATACATATTCAAAATTGTTTACTCGTGTATCCGCGAATATATTTTGCAGCGCGATCGAATGAAAGTCAAAAATCGAATGAAAGATGCATCAACGGTGATCGTCGACGTCAGCGAGCGACGTGGGAAGATATCTGATGTTGCAATCATTTCCAGCGGCAAACGAAACTCGATCGATCCCGTCAATTGATTTCAGCACGACCTACATGCAAGATTCAAGATCCGTTTCTTCGAGCTGCTTTACATTTGTTATACTTTCTGCGCTGGAGCTAATTTTTGTAACGTTAACCGCGCCAACGTGATGTGTGCAATTGAATGGTCATCCGCATAAGAGAGAATGTCAACTTCACAGCGAGTTTTACTTCCAACAAATTGCCCAATTGTTGCAAACACACTCCTTCTATCTCTCCGTCTTTCTACGTAATCTGCAAGTAGATTGTGACACATGTCTTGTTATTTTGCTAGCGGAATTTTTGCCCGACAAGGAACCGATCCGAGAAGGAAGCTTGCCTTGAACGACGAAAATGAGAGATTCCGCGGCACACAGCCGGAATCTCTTCTTGAATTTTAATCTGCTCGGTTCTTTTGACATATTTTTACCTGGAAGAAAGATCCGTGGACGAGAAAAACTGAAAGAAAAGCGGGCTGCTTCTTGAACTTTTAGGCGGAAAATATACCACGGTAAAATGCCTAATCTTTTTGAATATGAGATAAAGCAAACTCTGTTAACCATTTGCAGTCCAACGTCTAAAGTGTAACTCGATATTGTTTTACATTGAACTATTAAAAGTGACTATTAAGAATGAGAAAGAAAATTTGGACTGCAAAGGATTAAGTATTCTCTATTCGCGGTATTTTTTTACAATTTTGAAGATGAGACCGAATAACTCAGACAACTTCAATGTCTACCCCATTTTCCGGATGACCATTGCATAATTAAATAAACATGAACGATGAAACGTGTATTAAGCATTAAGTATATGCAAAATATGTGCATACAAAAATTCTTTCCCTCGTCAAATTGACTCAAAAGATCATACTCATCGAACAAAAGCTTGAAATAAAATTACTTAGTAATTCGAAACCATTTTCACATTAGTCATCAGTATCATCATATTGGCTTCGATGAATCTTTTCCAACTAAAAGAAAGTACTAACTTAATTTCCATCTTAAAAATTCAACTCTGAATAACTTTGAGAACAGAAAATGCAATGCTGAAGAGAGAGAATAACGAATAATTAAGAAGGTACTCTATATTGAATAATGTAGCTTTCATAGCTTGTACTGTTCCTCCACTTGCTCTTGAAATGGTTTTGCAAATGCTTTTCTACAGAGTAAAAATACAAATGTCAATTGAGAAGTGTCCCGTGTTAAGCACCGATAAAGAAGCAAAAACAAAAAAGATTTTTAAGTGTTTCGTCGCTTCTCTCTTTCGCTCTCTCTTCTCCTTTCTCTTTCTCAATCGACATTTGTACTTTCACTCCGCAAAGCATTTGCAATTCTATGCGAGCAAAAAATAGCACAAACTACAAAACTGCATCATGTCGATATCCAGCATCCCCTTGGCTCTCTATTACTTCGCGTTCTATCACTTTCAAATCGCATGCCGATTTTATCGTCTACTCACTGTACTGCCGCATTTAAACGACAGGTAAAAACACGAATACACCGAAATTTGAAAAGCGACAAAGAAAGAAGTAATAAAAGTGTAGAAAGTATAGAAACCGAGAGAAAAGGCTCCGCCATTCTCGTTTTACTTATGTCACTGTGTACGTGCCCCTTCCCCCTCACTGTTCGACAATCAACACCTCAAAGTTACACGCTTGAGCACGCTCATTTTCCGTCTCTTGCTCTTGGTCCAAGAAAACCCATTTCCCAGGTCCTCCGCGTCCTCCGCAAAGTAGATTTCTTCTCATTTTTCTGTATCGACCTTTCCGCTTGAAAGGCCTCACGAGTGATTCACGCGACCAGGGGGTTAAACGTTTTCCTCACGCCACGTGCGTTGCCCCACACTTAGCAAGAAGAGAGAAAGACGCGCAGGAGTACAGAAAGGACACGGAGGAGGGAAAGAGAGATGGAAAGAGGAGGAGAGAGAAAACCTCACTAGGTAGGTTCATGCGCGTGGAATCTCTCTTTCTCTCTCTCTCTCTCTCTCTCTCTCGCTCTCCTCTCCCTCCCTCACTCTCTCTCTCTCTCTCTCTCTCTCTCATCTCACTCGATAATAAAGAACATATATCCCACATCGAGGGATATTCACGGCCGATACGAACGACGCGCGATGGTGGGAGTGAGAGAGTGAGCGAGAGAAAGAGAAAGAGAGAGAAAGAGAGAGAGAGAGAGAGAGAGAGAGAGAGAGAGAGAGAGAGAGAGAGAAAGATAAAAAGAGAGAAAGAGCAGTCACGTACGTCTGCGGCGAGTCTCCGCCGTGGCTTACCTGGTAAAGGCGTCGAAGAACCAAGTCCTCTTGGTCTTCGGGAAGGCGACCCGCATACCGGACATGAGGGGCGAGTGGAGCACAACCGCGCCGACCTCGTAGCGCGCGGCGAGATCGACTGTGGGCACGGTGCCGATGCTCTGGCCGTACAGTATTATGTTCTCCGGGCTGATGCCATAACGCGTACGTAGCGCGTGCCACGCGGCGTCGATGTCCGCGTAGAGATTCTTCTCGGACGGCTTGCCGCCCGACACACCGTAGCCGGAGTAGTCGTAGCTGAATATGTTGCAGTTGATGCGCGAGCCTAGGCCGAGATAGAAGCTCGACATCTGGCCGAGGTCGACGGCGTTGCCGTGGGAGAAGAGGATGGTGAAGCGCGCGGTCGCCGAGCAGCGTACGAAGAGACATGCTATGCGGTTGCCGCGCGAAGTCCTCGCGTAGAAGCCCTCCACCGACTCCTTCTCGCGCTCCGTGTACTGCCACTCGGCGCGCTCCGACAGCGAGATGGTGAACTTGGAGCCCTCGTCCTCGACGAACGTGTACGTGGGCTCGGGCGGCAGGAAGGCCAGCTTGTCGGCGATCCTGGACGGGCAGGGCGGACAGCAGAACAAGCAACACAGTTCACTCAGGCTTAACCCGTTCATCGTGCGGCGGCACGGTCCTGGATTTACGTACGGCGGCTTCGCACGGCCGCGCACGCATTAAACACCGTCTGTATCCACCGTCTCTCCTCCACCTCGTGGGTTACCTCTACATCGAACTATGTTGTCAGCGATCGCTCTCGCTCGCTCCCTCGCTCGCTCGCTCGCTCGCTCTCTCTCTCTCTCTCTCTCTTCCTCTCTCTCTCTCTCTCTCTCTCTCTCCCTCGTTCACTTTCTCCCGTAAACTCCCGGTCCCGCGAGGATGGGCCCCTGGTCGCGATTCCAGGATCTTGTAGCGTTATCGCGAGAGACGGACACCGCGACACCCGCCGCCTAATGAGTCAGAAACGGCGTCATTTGTTATCGCTTTTCCTACGAGTGTCCCCACAATGATTCAGCCATGACGGCTCGCAAGACGGGCGATTTCTCTCCCACCTTCGCTGCTTGCTCTTTCTTTTTCTCTCTTTCTCCCTCTTCTCTCTTTCACGCGGACGCCGTGTCTCCCCCTACGTTGCACACTTTCATTGTGTCAGGTGAGACGGGACGCGAGATAGAGACGGAGTTACCGCGGTATCGCTTTGTTTGCGCCATACTCGCCGCACTCGATCGCCCCCAGTGGATTCTACACTGTACTGGGAAGCTTATCGCGGCGCTTAGGGTCGCCGCACAAAAACGTCCGTAAGTCCCGGTTCACAATGCAACCTAGTTCACCGTTGCGTCCTGGACAAGCCACAGAATATGCAATTTAGCAAGATGGTGAAGTATTAGGTCGTCGAGATGCTCCATTGATTATTCTGGCTGCGTTCCGCTATTCATTACCAATATTGAAAATATATAGTTTGTGTCACGTATACTATAGATTTTCAGTGCTGGCGGTGAATATCGGAACGCAGCCTCGGTTAGGAAAATACCAATTCGATACAGCACGATTGGACACAACCAATCGGTGCAGAGTTTTCTCTGGTAAATTACTATGTTCAACCAATGGCTGCGTTCAGCAAAACAAAGTGATCAGTGAGCGCTTAGTGATTCACACTCCTGATTGGTAAATACTTCTGGGTTTATGAAGAATCTAAAAGAATGCTCCAATCACAGATAATAATCACTAAGCGCTCACTGATAATTTTGTTCTATTGAACGCAGCCAATCATTTATTTTGTGTTCAATCGTGCTGTATCGAATCCTTGAAGCTACCTCCAGTTTCTCTTATTAAAAAAAATCGAGAAGAAAAAGAGAGAGAGAGAGAGGGGGATAAGGTCGTTATCTGCTCTCTCGTTCTATGTTGACGTCATACTTTGGGCTTAACGTTTGGTGTAACTATGTTTATAATTCATAACTTTACTTTAGTCCATCTTTTAACTTTTTCCAAAAATCCGCCAGAAATTGAGCAACCACAGTCGAATATGAGAAAAATAATCTATTGCGATTGGTTAATTCCTTAAAACTTACTATACCCATTGTAGACCCAACCTTAAAGCAAGGTTATGAACTAGGGCTAAGACGCAAGTAATAAACAAATTAACCAACCACTGTTAATCATTCATTTATAGTTCACAAATAAACGACTATAACCAGATAGGAACGTGAGAGCGGCCAACACGGTGTTTTCGACGACACCGACTTTCCGCACTGAGAAAGGGCGCCATCTGCATCCATTTTGAGAGGGGAACTACGATGCTACATCCACTTTCAGGTTTCGACGGTAAAACCTGTATGTGGTGGCAGTCCGTGCTACATCCATTTTTAGGCGGTTTATGTCCGTGCTACAACCATAATAGCATACTTGACAAGCACGGTCTCGCACATTGTTACGCGTTTATAACATGAATTAACATGTTAACATGTGCAAAAAAAAGAATTGGCATTGTGTATGATTAATATCATGAAGATTATACGAAGTGTCCGGTAATCAGCTGCCAACCCGAAGTGAGAGGGTAGATTGGGTTGAGACAAACATAAAAGTCCCACACCATTTTGCGAGATTCGCAATAATTATCGAGTTATTAATGACAGAAATCTGAGGAGTAAAAGCGCGCCGACATAGATGATTCGAAAAGCGTTGCAGCTGCTCGGGACAGCGATCATGAATCTTTTCCCTAGCGTGAACTAATAAAAAGTGAAAGACTTCTGTGAATCAGTGAAAAATGAAAAATTTTATATGAATTTGTGAAAATCGAAACATTTCACACAACAATTGAGTCGTTCAACATGGCAGTTGCGCGTTCTGGATAATTCAATGAATACCAAAAAAATCAAAATGATCAAAATAATAATGTCCGTGTAGTCCGAAGGATGTTACGTGCACGCAAAATCCGTTTGATGTAATATCCAAAGAAAATGTTTCAAAATATGTATGTACAGGTAATATAAACCTTATGCAACGACGAGATATACTACAAAGACTGATGGCCTTACGGGATTTAGCGTGCCAGAGAAATTTCCCTGGTGAGACATCCGGGAGAAAGAGACCGTCTCGCATTTAGCGCAGTAAAATTTAATGGGAACTACTTTTCAATCCTTTTCTTCGGATCAAAAAGATGCAGAATTCAGACATATTCAAAATGTCAATACTTTTTAATACTTCTCAATTCGACATTTTATACAGGGAAGCAGGACGAAGGGAATGGGATGCGGACAACGATACATCATGCGTCTCCAGACGTGTCAAATCGTTTATTATACAGGAGATTTTGATACGGCAACATGTATTCGAATATTTAATCGTCCTATGGACTACTTATATATAATAAACAAAAATTAACGCGGATAAATGAACGATTCGTATCAATTTTTCCTTTTCTTATAGAGCAATGAAAGAGTAAATCAGTATCGAAAATCGAATACCGATTAATACCATAAATCAGTGTCAGAAAATTGTCCAATGACAATTTGTTCTCATTTTTCAGGTAGTTACCGCTGTAATTTACACAAGAAATTAACTCGGTTAAACGAACGATTCGTACCAATTTTTTTTCTCTTATAAAGAAATGAGAGAATAAATCAGTACAGAAAATCGAAGGCCGATCAATACCTAATTTATTCATCAAATTAACGCGGATTGATGGACGATTCCCATTAATTTTCTTCTGTTTTCTTATAGAGAAATGAAAGAGTAAATCAGTACCGAAAATCGAATATCGATCAATACCGTAAATCAACGTCAGAAAATTGTCCACGTACGATTACAATTTGTTCTTATTTTTTAGATAGTTACCCCTCTAATTTACTCAACAAATTAACTTGAATAAACGAATGATTCGTATCAATTTTTCTTCTCTTATAAAGAAATGAAAAAATAAATCAGTACCAAAAATTGAAGACCAATCAATATTTAATTGTATGTATACTTTATTGATTCCCCTGGCGGGGTTACAAATTCCAATATAATCTCTCCTTCTTACTTCCTATTACGCTCGCATCTATTCCCTCGCACACAAACACACACACACTCCCATCCCTCGCCATTCCTTAAACCTAGTTTACAAATATCTTACATCTACTCGCTCGCTTATCTCTTATAATTAATTATTCGTATATCATCTATTCTTATACATATGTATATATGTATATTTCTATGCCGCAGTTACTCCTATAATTCTTATTTCCTACCGCCGATTTTCGCTTTCCTCCATTCATTCCATTCCTTTACACTTTCTCCCTCGCTCTCTCTCTCTCTCACTCTCTCTCTCTCTCTCTCTCTCTCTCTCTCTCTCTCTCTCTCTCTCTCATCCTTTTAATCCCCCTCGTCCTCCCCCTCACTCCCTACACTTCTCTCATTCCCCTCTCCCTCCCCCTCTCCCAGCAACCTTTCTATCACCTATTCCAATCTCTCTCCCTCTCCCCCCCCATTGTGCATAAAAAATACCTAATCTTTTCATCAAATTAACGCGGATTAATGAACGATTCGTATTAATTTTCTGTTTTCTTGTAAAGAAATGAAAGAGTAAATCAGTACCAAAAATCGAATATCGATTAATACGATAAATCAGTGTCAAAAAATTGCACACGTGCAATGACAATTTGTTCTTATTTTTCAGGTACATACCCCTCTAACCTTATTCAACAAATTAACTCAGATAAACGAACGATTCGTATCAATTTTTCTTGTCTTATAAAACAATGAGAAAATAAATCAGTACCGAAAATCGAAGAATGTTCAATAATTTTTCCATCAAATTAACGGGAATAAATGAACAATTCGAATTTTTTCTATTCTTATAGAAAAATGAAAGCAGAAATAAGTACCGAAAATCGAATACCGATCAATATCGAATTTATTCATCAAATTAACGTGGATAAACAAACGATTTGTATCAATCTTTTTTTCTTTTATAGAGAAATCAAAGACTAAATCAGTACCGAAAACCGCATATTGATCAATACTATAAATGAGCGTTAGGAAATTGTCTAAGTGCAATGACAAGTTGTTTTTATTTTGCAGGTACTTACCCCACTAACTTACTCAACAAATTAAGTCGGATAAAAGAAAGATTCGTATCAATTTTATACTCTTATAAAGGAATTAGAGAATTATTCAGTACCGAAAATTGAAGACGGACCAATATTTAATTAATTCATCAAATTAACGCGGATAAATGAACGATTCGTATGAATTTCTTTTTCTTATAGACAAATGAAAGAGTAAATCAATATCGAAAATCGAATATCGATTAATACCATAAATCAGTGTCAAAAAATTGTCCAAGTGCAATGACAATTTGTTTCCATTTTTCAGGTACTTACCTCTCTAATCTTATTCAATAAATTAACTCGAATAAACGAACGATTCGTATCAACATTTTTTGTCTTATAAAAAAATGAGAAAGTAAATCAGTACCGAAAACCGAAGACTGATCAATATTTAATTTATTCATCAAATTAACGCGGATAAATGAACGATTCGTATGAATTTTTTTTTTTTCTTATCGAGAAATGGAAGAGTAAATCAGTACCGAAAATCGAATATTGATTAATACCATAAATCAGTGTCAGAAAATTGTCCAAGTGCAATGACAATTTGTTCTCATTTTTCAGGTACTTACCCCTCTAATCTTATTCAACAAATTAACTTGGATGAACGAACGATTCGTATCAATTTTTTTTGTCTTTTAAAAAAATGAGAAAATAAATCAGTACCGAAAACCGAAGACTGATCAGTACCGTAAATCAATGTCAGAAAATTGTCCAGGTACAATGACAATTTGTTTTCATTTTTCAGGTACTTACCCCTCTAATTTACTCAACAAATTAACTCGGTTAAACGAACGATCCGTATCAATTTTTCTTTTTTTATAAAGAAATGACAGAATAAATCAGTACCGAAAACCGAAGACCGATCAATACCCAATTTTTTCATCAAATTAACGCGGATAAATGAACAATTCGTATGAATTTATTTTTCTTATCGAGAAATGAAAGAGTAAATCGGTACCGAAAATCGAATATCGTTTAATACCATCAATCAGTGTCAGAAAATTGTCCAAGTGCAATGACAATTTGTTCTCATTTTTCAGGTACTTACCCCTCTAATTTACTCAACAAATTAACTCGGTTAAACGAACGATCCGTATCAATTTTTCTTTTTTTATAAAGAAATGACAGAATAAATCAGTACCGAAAACCGAAGACCGATCAATACCATAAATCAATATCAAG